CTTTTCTATCCATTTGTCAAAATGTTCTTCAGGCTACCGACGTAATTTTACCTTCTGCGGGTTGGGGATGTAAATCGTCGGCATTTCAAAGCCACATTTGTTGAGACCTGGACGGCGACACAGCTCCTGGACTATCTGCATCATCACTCTCTGCAGAAAGAAGGAAAGCTTAGGTACTTTCCCTAGATGGATTTATTTAAATGACTCAAACAGACCTGTCTGTCTGTCTCCTTCCCAGCTTCATCTGCCTTGCTGAGGTAAAACAGCAGCTTGTCGCTACATTTTTCACTCAGCTTCTCCACAATGTTGAGCGTGCGTTTGCACAGAGCTTGGCCCATTGGGTCAAAGAACACAAATACCAGGTCTGCTTGTTCTCCTGCAGGAAAAAACATAAACGCCTGTAAGAGAGAGTGGGTGATGAGGCTGGAAACCAAAAGTGGTTCAGTGAATACATACCTAACCAGGTTATAGCGCTGTTAACATCAAAAGGGTAAATCATGTCCCCATCCACCAAACCTGGAGTGTCCACAAATGTCACCAGGCTGAACTTTTTCTGTTTTGAAGTGGAGATCTCTGCAGACAGGTAGTCCATTAAGCCTGGAACACACAGACACTGGGAATAAATGGGAGCCTCCTTCAGGACAAACGGTATGATGCAGGAAGAGGCGCAAGTCACTAGAAACTGCAGAGCGGTCAATACCAGGAGACCTGAAGGCTTCCTGTGCTCCCAGCTCAGAACTTTCCTGAAGTTTCTAATAAAACTTAACAGCAAAGTCGATTTAAGGCAGACACAATATTACTACAATAAAACGCTCACAGGTGAAACTTTAATTTCAGACCTGTTCTAATCATATTCAGAGTCTGCAAAGAGGTTTGTTGTCATAGTTACACACAACAGCTCTTCAACTGGCAGCTTTAGTGTGGGGCGTGGGACATAAAGCTAGCCAGTGAAGAACGACTGTGAGGCAACGCGATGCGAGGTTACTACAATCCAAACAGGATCCCTATTGAGACAAATCCTCTCCATCGGGCTTACGGCACCAGCCTCCCTGTCCACACACAAGCCTAAACAGAGCAGAGGCCTCGGGATGACACTGGGGCTGTTTGATACAAAGAGGCAGGTGTCAACACCCGACACAAATCACATCCTTGTGTCGCAGAGAGCAGGGCGGCCACCACCGCTGCTAAGGGACATTAGCCTGTCTCTATGCTTGCCCTACATCAGTTCAAACACGCCATCAATAAAATAATCTGAAAAATTACAGGTGTGCTCGCAAAATCTGCATCAAGATCATGAAAAAGGATTCTTTTTTTCCTCTTTGTGTGAAAATAAAACTTAAGCAATGCTGTGCTATAGTTAGGATCATTTAAAAATGCTAAAGCAAGCAGGTGAAATCAGAACATTTAATCTATCTGTGACATAAAATATATACATTCCTAAAAGGAAAACAGCAGATGCTCAACTTTAAGCACAAATACTTTCAACTGGAAGTGAGAAGGTTTGGCTGTTCAAACCCTCCAGCAATGCTGAACAGTTTGAGGCTAAAAGTACATTTGATTTAATAAACTGGTTAAACTGGTCAGAATGCAAATGAACAGCAATAAAATGCTCACAGCCTAACAGTGAATAATACACTTCCAATCTGACAACAGGTTTCACATTTAAACATTTGTTATGCAAAATATATATATATATATATATAACAGATACGGTGTTTTTAATCCAAGTGGATCCTGAAGGACGATCAGCATCTACTCCCTCAGAAGGATATATGCTGAATTCCTGATGAGTCATCCTCAGCCGATTTGAGAGCCTGATGTGTTGCGTTTCCAGAGGCAGATGATAATCCTGCCCATATTTCTGCAGCAGATGTGTTGCTTTGAGAGTCCGACCTGCAGCACGGAGCTGCTGCTGCATGAGTTTGCTCCGAGCTGCCTCTAACGGCTGTGACATTTCTCTACTGCCCCTCCTGACTACACTGCACTGCTGTCGATGGGGCGTGTGACTCATACGCCACACCATGAGTCCGCGCCCAACGAACCCTTGCTCTACACACACGCGTACACACACACACACACACACACAAACACACACACACACACACACACACACACACACACACACACACACACACAGGCACACCCAGACTCTTTGCTGCCACCAGCAGATGTCCAGTGACTAAAGATTGCAGACTGATAAACACACACCATCACACTTTCTGTCTTATAGTCAAGAAAAATCTGCACTTGCATACACTCGACACTTAAAGTTGAGTCATCACAGCTAGAGCATTTACCCAAAAACAGAAACAAATAAAGAATCTGGGTAGCAACAGGACAAATCAGAAACTCGTCTTGAATAAGATTGTGTTTTAGACGAAATTGCTACAAAAATTGAACTGAGTTTATCAAGTTTACTTTGATTCTAGTTTGTTTTGAATCCTAAATAAGGGTGATCAATAACAGAAAACGCAAAATCATGATTATTTTGGTCAATACTGAAATCACAATTAAACATGGAGACTTGATAAGCTGTGAAACACTACAGAGTTCGCAGTTTAGGAAGGCACTGATTTATGCCAGCAGGTGGCAAAGTTAAACTCTGAGGTGATGAATACAACTCGAGAGCAATGTTAGAGACCAAATGCTGCTTCCACATCTGGGTCAGTACGGTCCAGGCTGAGTAGCTTATTTGTTTTCACATCTGGGTAAGAAGTGCATTTTCCGTTCTGAGTCGACTCTTTTTTTAGACCTCTTTCATGGCGGTCCAACTAATTGGCCGGCTGAAATTCACGCCTACCGCCTCTGATTGGTGGGTAGAACCAGCCAACAGGGGCTTCCTGCATCATTCTGGATGCTGTGGAGTAAGGCAAAGCAAGGCAAGGCAGCTTTATTTATAGAGCACATTTCAAACACAGGGGCAATTCAATGTGCTTTATATCAGGACATGATATGAAAACAACATAAAAACACAAATTTAAATACACAGATAGAATTACAGTTTCAAGCTAAAGGAGAAGACAAAGTTACAGCACAGATTACAGTGGAGGCAACGCAGCATAAGAAACTATTTATTTATAGGCTGATGAGTGCATTAGGGTTTTAAGTTTTCATTTAAACAACACTAGATTTGGGGCAGATCTGAGGTCCTGGGGAAGCTGATTCCATATGTGTGCAGCATAGTAACTAAATGCATCTCCACCATGTTTGGTTCTGACCCGAGGTTCTACCAGCTGATTGTTTCCAAGGGATCTCAGAGCCCTATTGGGTGTATATACAGGAATGAGATCGGACATGTGTTTTGGTCCCATGCCATTGAGTGATTTATAAACTAGTAGGAGCACTTTGAAATCTATTCTGTAGTTTACTGGTAACCAGTGTAGAGATCTAAGAACAGGAGTGATGTGCTCCATTCTCCTAGTTCTTGTTAAGACTCTAGCAGCAGCATTCTGAACAAGCTGCAGTTGCTTCACAGCTTTTTGGGAAGGACCAGTTAGAAGACCATTGCAATAGTCCAGCCGACTAGAAATAAAAGCATGAATGAAAGTCTGGTCTGGACATGAGACCTCGAACTCTTGATATTTGATGAAGGCGATAAAACGCTGATTTAGTTATCGCCTTAATATGTCCAGAGAAGCTCAGGTCTGAGTCAATGATGACACCAACATTTCTAACCTGGGTCTTTGTCTATATTCCCCTGGAGTCCAGCTGAGCAATAACATCCATTCTATCCTTCTTGTTGCCAAAGACAATAACTTCAGTCTTGTCTTTGTTTAATTGAAGGAAGTTTGACTGCATCCAGTCATTAAATTGCTAGTCATCGACTAGTCGCTGTTACGTGATAATGACCGGCAAGTTGCAGTCCACGGAAAAGACAGCAGCCTGCTGTCAGCAGGTGACAAGCTCCTGCGCGTCGGGGGGGGGGGGGGGGGGGGGGGGGGGGGAACACGCTGTGCCAGAGCGTCGGTACTGACACGCGCTGTAAAACGGACATTTAACCAAATTGTGACCTTTTCCCTCTTGCAATTTAACCTTCCCCTCACCCCATCCTAACCTTAACCAGCGTGCGCATGCAAAGCTCTGATTGTCGACGCGCTCCAGACATCTGCGTCCTGAGCACGGCCACAGTAACATTATCAAATCAGGTGTCACCACCTCAAAAACTAATTTAACACGCGATTGTTCATGTCGGCTCATTTCCTTTTATGTTTTCTGTCTTTTATTTGCACCTGATGTGTTTCGCTGCTGTGGAGCGGGGCGCATCACCTTGTCCTCCGGTGACGCACCGATCACTGATGCGGCCGGCAAGCAGTGAGCACTCCGCTGTTTTTGCGGTCGGTAGATCTTTTAGAACTGCAGTTCAAAGGTAACTCATGAGGTGAATATATATATGAACCCAGGTAGCAGTTTCTCTTTAGGATTGAGGGGAGATGCAGGAAGATAATAAACAGGCAGGACAGAAAAATAGTCAAATAAAAACAAGTTAGTTTTTGTACCTGGTGGTTGCAACAAACAGACACCACTGAAGGAAATCAGAAGTGAGGAACAGAAAATGAAATAATTATTTTAATGTTTAGAGCAGCAGGAACTCTGAGAGGCTGCAGGCACATCAGTGAGTTTGCGGCCGCTGCGCAGGGGGAGGGGGGAGAGGGCTGAAGCAGAAACTATCGTTGTTAAAAGAAATGTGTTTAACTTTGAAAATGTGGGCGCAATTTTAATTGTCAAAAACTCCAGCGAACCATTAGTTCATTTTGCTCAAATAGAAATAGAGGTCTGCCTCTAATTCTGGTCCTCCTTCCAATAAAGGCCTGGAGCTTGATGAGCTTGAGTCAAATACAGGCCCGGGCCTGTATTAGAGGATTTACGGTAACCATATTGTCCATTTCATTATATGATTATATGATTAGTTGCTCATATTGTTCATCCATCTTGTTCTATGAATAAAACCCAGTCTTAGATAAGAGTGAGCTTGCGAGGGACCTTGGCCAAGCAACAGTATCTTTCTTGCAGATTGAAAGCACCAGTTAAGACTTAAGTCTCCAAATGGCCAGATACTGAAGAGGTCAAACTGTAGATGAAAAACTGAACATTCCTGGAGGCTACGACTCTAAATAACTGTTTATTTGGATCATTAAACCTCTCTCTGTCTGCAGCATGGAGCTCCAGCTCCAGCGCAGCGGCAGGCTGCTGCTCAGTGGGAAGAGCGAGGAGAGAGCAGGAAGGAACAAAGGTGGCCGTGAGCATCACAGCTCACAGTTGCAGCAGCGGAGGACAGAGTGTTAGAGGACACACACACAGCAGTATCAGTGAGAGAACAGAGAGAAAATGAATAAAATAATGTTGTTCAGAGTCTCCAAAAGCAGCACGGCTCACGCACACCTTTTTTTGTGCGTCTTTCGCACTATCTACATGCTCAGGAATTTCCACATTTCCGAGAAGTCTGTATGAACAAAAAACGCCCGTACAAGCCCAAACTGGTGCCACCCAGCCACAGACGTATCGACTCAGATGTGGAAGTCACTTTCATCAAATTAGAATTATTATGGACCAAAAAATAAATCAGGTCTATTACAGATTAGCATCAATGAAGTACTTTGTAAAATTCCAACATTTGTTTAAAACACAAATAAACAGAATTCATCTGATTTTATAGAAAACCTACATAGAGCTGCTACAAAAGCCTGGATGACGAAGCAGGAAGTCAGTGAACACAAAGAAGGGTTTTAGGAGTGTCAGTTTTGGGAACAGAGGTAACAGGAAAATTGGACATTGCGCCACAGGATGCTTGGAGACCTGTATCATACTCAGCCGATGTGTTTTGCCCATATTCCCCCAGCTTAATTTGTGCATAATTTCTAAAACCCCACGACATGACTGTGAACTTTGCCTTTGTTTTGTTTCTGTGATAATTTTTAATTAAAATCATAAAAAAATCTGACTAACTGCACAGCCCTAATTCTATAGATTCTAATATATGTGTCCTTCTTTTTCCCCACCTATAGAATAACACTATTTAACCCTCCTCCCAAATTTTCTTCCTTTAACTTTTAGCTAATTATTTAAAAGCAACAACAATCGATGGAGAGAACAATCAGATCTCTAAGCTCACAAATTAAACCCAAAATAATGAAATGGTTTTTCAAACCAGACCTTCTTTTCAAACAATGAGATAAATACCATGCACCAATTCCAACATCAAAGGCAGGGAGATACAAACCTGATTTTCCCACCAAAAAGCTGCGCATAAAACAGATTCTGTATTGTCGGATTCATGTGTCACATGAGGAATTACAAAAAAAGTCATTATTTTAACAAAAAGGCTTTAGTTTTTCTTTCTGCAGAAATGTCTTCACAATTTTCAGATAAATTAGTGAGAAATTTTTACCTTTGAACTCAAGGAGAGGTCGGAAGTGAGGGTAGAGATGGAGCGTGGCATTCCCCTGTGAAAGAGTTCAAAGTTTACATGAGATGAAAAACAAAAGTGAGACCTTGTTATTACAGCTGACTCCTCTTTTCATGTCCTTCGAACTTCTGCTCTGCAGCTGAGTACGCCCGGATTGGCTGCTCTGCAGTCCTGCGCTGCAAATATATTAATTGTATTCATCATCTTCATCTCACCAGCATAAGAATCAAAATCTAAATAAAGTGATGAGCCTACTTGTTGACTTTAATAATGATTTATTATCAGTATATGCACACGTTTGGAGGAGCAAAAATCCATAAACCACACCTCACAGCATCAGCATCTAACACACTGCCTCATCACCTCACTGATGCTTCAGATTTAACTATTAAAAGATTAAAACTGAGATAATATGATTGAAGATTAAATATTGATCTGGGAGAAAAGCAGAAAAGGTCGCTGCTTTCCAAACATCAGCTGGATTTTGTGACGGAGAACGTTCTACCACCTGATCCAAGCTCAGAAACAGGAAGTGCTTCTGCAACATGTTGGACGGCATTGTCCTCTTACCGTCAGGGATTCTCTCTTACGTCCACTTGTGATGAAGGTAAACCCCTGAGTTTCGATGGCTACGCCGGTTTTCTGAATGTGCTCTTCAACGTACCTACAGGTGGGCAGAAAAGGATTTACTGGAGATAAAATGATAAGTCTGTCACAGAGTTACAAAATCACCACTTTTCTCTCTACCATCACAGTATTCTCATCTTAAACACCCACTTCTGTCACTTGAGCAAAAACTGAAGCATTTTGTTCTCGGTGAGCTCTACTTTTGAACTGAAAAATTTAGCTGCAATTAACATGTTTTACTAACATCAGATGTTTCTTACCTGATCTTCATCCACAACATCCGGAGAAGAACTTCTGAACTGTTTAATGCCTGTTTTCTAAAGCCCTAAGAGCTCCTGAAACAGCATTTACAAGGTTTTGCGTGATGGGACTGTTTCATAGCATGCTGACTAACAAAAATAAGAAAGGCATAGGTGTGTTAACCAGGGCTGCATTTCACTTCTGCAGATGTGCATACTGGTTGTTCTGCAAAGTCTAAGGATCGAATGCGCAGAATGTCATCTAAATGGAATGCAGCCCATCACCTTGGTGAATATGACTGTCTTGTTTCCATGAATGTAAGGAAGAAGCAAACGATCATAATTTGTCATAGTTGTCTGCAGGACATATTTTGTCTTTGATTTGATGGAGATTCTGTCAGTGTTTAATTTTTATGATTTTTTTTTCTGTTTGCACAAAATAGGGATATTTGTTGTTTATTTCCAAACAATAACTGAATTATGAGAATAAAACATTTTAAATGTAATATTTAAAATTCCAGAAATGAACAAATGTTCTGTTGCAAAACCACCGGGCTGCATACAGAACTTGTTTTAAAAAGCAAGTGTCGACAAGTCACAGAGTCTCTTTTAACTACGATGAAGCCAGTTAACACCGCTGTATTACCAGTTAATGAAGGAGCTCTTCCCAGCTGAGTGGTTCCCCATTATCATCACTACTATCTTCTTTCTCGGAGGCAGGAGCCGGACACCAAGGCTGTCTGCAATTCTGACCAGGCCTAAAAAGTGCATCCAAAAATTAACAGAGCATCGACATAATCTTATATGGAGTCGACTTTGTGAGAATAACTTGGGGGGGGGGGGATATAGAATGGAAATGCACTTCAGGTTAATTTTGCACAAAGGTTTGGACAAGAAAGAGTAATGATACAGTATATGCAGCGAAAACTTCAAATAATTACATAAAAAAGAAAACTGTTCCTGAACTTGAAACAATACAAGTCACATATATTCTAATAAAAGATCAAAAATGGGGAAAAGTGTTTTTATTGCTGCACCACTTACACACAAGTTAGTTCAAAGGACCGATAAACCTAAAATTAAAAGTGATTTGAAAAAAAAAATAAAAAAGGTTTTAGAGAATAAAGAGTACAGGAGCAACCTAGTTTGTTCAAATCATTAAATAATCTTAGGATATTTTATATTGATGCAAACCACAATGCCCACATTTTCTTGCAAATCAAAAGAAAAATCTAGATAGCTGGAGATGCAACACACTGATAAATGCTCTTGTTTTAAATTATTACTTTTCTATGATGCACAACATGTACAGGTTTCATATGACAAGAGAATAAGCAAGCAGAATGATTTCCTCTCTCCACAAAAACACACTTCATCCTAACAGTGCTTTGCATGCTTTTAAACCTCATGTCTAAAAACAGTTGTGAGAACCAGCTTTTAGACTAATTGGCTGTCAACTTATTCAGCATTTCCCTGTTCGGCAACTTTCAGTGTTTTCTGTTCATGAAAGCAAGCAAAACAACAGGATTATCAACAAGGATTATAGATCTGAATGGCTTATTGCAGCAGCACTGTTAGCATATTTCTATCCTGTCTAACACGGACTGTGCGTTTGTACAAACGAGCGCTGCCTTTCTGAACTCGGTGTCAGGTGTTAACTCTGACAGCAGCTGCTGCAGACTTTAACAAACTCACCAAGCAGCACCCACTTTCACACCCAACCCGGAGAATAAGGAGCTCAGCAGCATGAAAACGCAACACTCTTGCAGCTAAATAATTATTTACCGTTCTCGCTGTCGACATATAGGTTGTGGCATTCCTTCAGTATCCTTTCACTCGGTGTGGTGATGGCAGACTCCAGAGGGTTCGCCACAGACCGGGGCTTTCTGCCCGACATAGTGGACTCGTCTTTTTGCCACAACCCGGGGGAAGGATTAAGGGGTTGCACACTGTGCGCTCCTGGAAAAAAGCGCCCCCGTGCGGTTACAATTTGACTCTGCGCTGTGGTTCCGCTCAGGTTTTGTTCAGTGTTTCAGTTTCAAAATATTTCAAATGAATGGACTGAAGTAAGAAAATATTTAGAATTGTTTATTTTAAAAAGTATTCTTTTTTTATTTGCATACTTTATTTTATCCACACATTCTGACCCATTGTTTATGTAGCATGGTAAAAAATCAACACACCCACCTACCCAATTGTTAAGGTCAATAAAACTCTAATTTCCACCTAAAAGTACACACTTTATAACTTGTGAGTATGTTAAATTAATCTGAATGTTTCTTGCTTTTGAATTTTCAATTGATCTCATATCCCCTTCATGGATTGCTTAGTAGAGTCACATTCATGGGTATAATAAATAATACCGTTAGTTTTTCTTTTGTTTTTTGTTTTTTGGCACCAAACCTGCTGCTCACTGGTGGCATACAATTTTTGTCTTATGAGTATCTTGTGATCATTGGCTTCCCTCATGCAAACGCCCTCATTGTTATGGGTACTGATGCCAACCACCACCAAAGTTTCATTTCACATTAGTTTCACAACTATGGTGTTGAACATCAACTAGTGTTGTTCACATTCATTCATTCATTCATTCATTCATTCATTCATTCATTCATTCATTCATTCATTATTTCATTCATTCATTCTTTCGTTTGTTCGTTCGTCCGTCCGTTCGTTCGTTCATTCATTCATTCATCTGTTTTAATCCATTCATTCATTCATTCATCTTTTTTATTCAGCTTTGCTGCAAAGAAAGGGATAATTATTGACTATAAGTAATTGTGAGTTTGTTTTGTGCGCCACTAAGAAATCTTCATTTAAGCCTTCTCATGAATAATTAATGGCATTTCTTTTTCTATAGATCATCAATAGATCTATAAACTCTATAGATTTTTTTTACAATTTAAGATTTCTTTAATTTCTAATAGTACTAATAATGCTTTTGAGCTGTATGCATTTATTTGAGGTCAGTTCCTTTACATGCTCAATCATACCAACTATTTTTATGAGCCATATCCCAGGATTCCTCTGGGTGTGGGCAGTGTGTTGCATCTAAACTGGTCTGGGAGCAAAACAAATCTCAACATGCTCACTTCTCAGTCTTTCTTAAAATGACACAAAATTTTAGCTTAGTTGTTGACCGACGTATGACATGTTGTTTGCTTTTCAACAGTAAAATGCTCACTGAGACAACAGCTGGAAGGGACATAACTGTTTTTTAAAATCACTGAAGCAAACAAACTATTTGCTTAAATGTGAAGTTTTGAATATGACTTTGATATTGGGTTTACCTCCTTCATCTGATCCAGATGTATCCAACCCACCGAAGCCAACAATGGCTGGGGTTAGAATTTTTTGTACACACCTATTGTCCGATATTATCAGCCTTTCATCATTATCTACCGATATTGGAATTACAATATCATATTGGAAATAATTGGTATCGGTTTTTTATCTATTAATAAAACAACTTTTACACATCATTCACATAGTATTCATCAAACCCGTCAGCTAATTCGAGGAGGGGGTTTTGTCTTAACTTAAGTTGAAGAAAAAGTAACATTTTTGACAGATAATGTTTAAAGTTTAAGTATGCATGACATCTGTGACATTAGTAACCTAAAACGCTTTCATTTTTTTATGGGTAGGAACCTTGCATATTTCAGTTTGAGTATTAAAATGAAGAGTTAAACTCTATGGGTGTGTCGGATATTGGTGAAAAAGCAGATATCCAACATCCTATGGTTAAAGTTGCTCAGCCACCTGTAAAATGACACTAACAACCTATCATATGTTCAACATTTACAATATATTTCTTATTCCTATTTAAAGTAACTCCAAATTTAAAAAATCCCTAAACTTTTACTGAAAAGTGAAAGTCCAGGCATAGTCTGTCTCCACTTAACAGCAATTCAAAACTTCTCAGTGGGACAAGAGGAAGGAAGGTGACGCATCTTAATCTCCTCCTTCTTTTAAAACAATGTGATCTCTGAATGAAACACACTAAAAACCGACAGCACCGCTAATGCACATTGTATTGCACAGGGTAGCTTCATTTGGCCAGTAATCCTTCTGAAGCCAGATGAGCTCAAGCTCAACTCCACAGGAATGTGCTTCAGGTTGTAACCCCACCCCGCCTGAAGCTAAGGTCATGTGCTGCACCTTACAGCTGCAGTCTGCTGCAATTGGAAGAGCTGGACACGCTGTTAATGGTTTGTTCAAACACGGATTTACTGCATCTTCTGGGACAAATTTAAATGAGGGATCAATGGAATCAAAGAAAGAGGTGAGTTTACAAACAATGTTGTTGCTGTGAAGATCCATCCTGTGATCCCAGTGGTTTTTCCTGTTAGGAATGTAGTGAAATGTTATTGTATGTCTCACCATTTGTGCTTTTTGGTGTTTTGGGAGTAAAGGCAGTTTGTTGCTACTTTAATTGAAAGTGTTCAGATTTGCTGTGAGAAATTTCCCCAATAAACTGGGTGCAACAAGTGCAGTTTTATTAGATTGTTGTTGCATTTAGTGCTTAATAAGAGTGTATAAAAGTCTATGTGCCTATCTTTTATTTGTAATACAGGCTTGTATAATTTCTCAATAGATATGGAAAAAAATGTAGAATCAACACAACCTTCTGAAGAGAAAGAAAATCATCTGAAAAGATGTTTTGGGTCAAATGATGACTTAATCTTTATATCACTTCAATGGTTTCAGATGTTTCCTTTATTTTTCACTTTGTTTTCCATTATTACAAAAAGCTACACGTAGTATTTGTTTCACAAAAATGTTGCATTCTCTTTATGACTAAAAGAAAAATCAATAGATAAATATTTTAATCTTCACTAAAAACCTTTAAGGTTTGGTCTAATAACTGGACCCATCCTCCTGCACAAACAGGAAATAAAAAATAAAACATATTTTAAATAAATGGTGCATGTCGTGTTTAACCAGTTTTAAAAATGATGAAATTCAGATCAGATGCCCGCACTTCCCAAATGTGAAACATAGAGGGAGTCAACACATCGCATGTTTATTTAGGACCTTTTTTATGTAGAGATTTGAGGTCTTTTTTAAAATTGTTGTCAGTTTGATGCAAATGGAAATATTCTTGAAGAGATTTTAGGTTTGAAACAAGAAAAAAACTAAAGATCCAGGTTGGCTAAAACCCAATTATTCATTATAATCATCATTCATTTTTAATTAAGCAAGAGGTTTAGTCGTATTTATCTGTAGAAATCTTACCAGAATCTATCAACTTTGAGATGCTTTTTTTTCTTCATTTTTTCCATTTTAAAACACAACTGAGATGCATAATTCAGGTTTTTAGACACTGCTATTGTACCATGAAATACTGATGGACACGGAGCATCTGGAGAAGATTCTTCACACTTCACACTCGTTTTCTGACAACACATCAGTTGTGTTATCCTCAGCATAAATTCCCTCTGCAATTGAGTTTTAGCTGACTTTTGTAAGCAAGAGTCCGCAGGAAGGAGACACGGCTCACAGAAGACAAAGATTTCAGGAGCTTAGGAGGAAAATGTCAAATGAGTTTATGTCTGAATACGAGCCTCTGCTCATTAAAGGCATCAAAGATAAAAAGCGGTTAAAGGTGGGTGAATTTTAAATACTTGTCATGTGTCTGAAGAGCTTCCAGCTGAAGTATTTGTGTCTGCCTGCAGCTTCCAAACAAATCTCTGCCGCTGGCTGTGTTTGCTGCTTGTGTAGGAGGGACTTTTCAGTATGGATATAATATATCCATCATCAACGGTCCCACAAAGGTAAAATCAGGTTACACAGTAGGACAATGTGAGAATAAAATGACATCTCTCTCTCTCTCTCTCTCTCTCTCTCTCTCTCTCTCTCTCTCTCTCTCTCTCTCTCTCTCTCTCTCTCTCTCTCTCTCTCTCTCTCTCTACATATATATATATATATATATATATATATATATATATATATATATATACATATATATATTTATATGTTTGTATATATATTTTTATTTTATTTTATTTATTTTTTTATCCACAGTACGTACAAAACTTCATCAACCACACCTGGATGGAGCGCTACCACACCAACATATCAGAAAATGGTCTGACTCTGCTCTGGTCCACTATTGTGTCCATTTTCACTTTAGGAGGACTCATAGGAGTTTCAATCGGGGGAACGTTGTCAGTGAGGCTTGGGAGGTAGGGAGGAATGATGACGGCGGGTAAAATGAGTCTGCTATCTGTGCTAGATTTTTAATTTCACATGCCATGTTTCAGAAAAGGGACGCTGCTGACCAATAACATATTCTCATTAACGGCTGCTCTGCTGATGGGTCTGAGCTCCACTGCTGGATCATTTGAGTTGCTCATCATTGGACGTCTTCTCTGTGGAGTAAATGCAGGTAAGTGTTAGTAATGCATGGTATAACTGCACGGCAGATATTGATTGGGAATAAACTTTTTTTTCTTTGAGTGAGGAAGAATATGAATAAAACATGTTGCATTTGCGCCAAATAAAAGATTTGGAATTACTAACAGATCTACTTTAGCATTCTCAGATGTGAAATGTTGATATAGAAACAGGTTTTTACCCCCTGAAGATAAAGATGATCCTATATTAGCTCTGCTAAGTTGGTTTAGTTTAATAAAAAGCTGCAGCTTTTCAGACTTTCTTCTATTTTAGACACTAAAGTAATGAGATAAAAGCTGAAAGGCAATACTTTAGACATGTGGCATGCATATTTCTGAGGATTGATTGGAACATTGCATGTCAAACTTTGATTGTTGTTGAATTTTGCAGGCATTGCTTTATGTGTTCAGCCTCTTTATTTGGGGGAAATCGCTCCGACTGCGTTGCGTGGGGCCACGGGAATGGGAACCTCTGTTTTTATCACTGGTGGGATCTTAACCGGACAAGTGATGGGTCTCAAGTAAACACTGAGCACAAACAAGCAAAGACTATCCAACCTTGGCCTTGTTATTGATAAGCATGTTGATGTGACATCTTTGTGTGATTACAGAGAGGTTCTGGGTAAGGAGGAGTACTGGCCCATCCTGCTGTCCACCACTTTTATCCCTGCTGTTCTGCAGCTCATCATCCTGCCCTGGTTCCCAGAGAGCCCACGCTATTTGCTCATTGATAAAGGGGATGATGAGGGATGTAAAAAAGGTACATTTGCATAGCAGTTGCATTTATTATTTATTTATTTATTTGTTTGTTTGTTTATTTATTTATTTATTTATTCCTGGCTTCTTTACATACCAAAACCTTTCAACAAGAACTCCAAATCTACACTGATTTCATTTATGCGCGCATGAACGTGCATAAAAGACTGTGTGCATGCGGTAAAAAAATGGTCAATGTGGATTTTAGAGTGAATTTCTTTCATCAGACCATAAAAGTCCATAATAAGCGCAGTCCACTGACCACAATCCACACTGCTGGAGGCAGGGACATTTGTTGATGCTTGTCTGTTCGAGCATGTGAGCTCACTCTGATCACGCTCCAAGTGTGAAGAGAACTGGTTTAATGCTGGCAACCTTTTGACTGGATCATAAATGTCAGCCCCCTTGCAGCCTGATCAGATGAGAAGAATGGTGTCTACTGAGGATTTTAACCTCTGTGTCATGTGTTTTCCCGCCTGCAGCCCTGAGGCAGCTGCATGGTTTATCTGAGTGTGATGCTGCGTTGGAGGATATCAAGAAAGAGAGGAATAACTTGGTAGGTTTCCACGCCAGGAAA